TCATGTAATCAGGCTTGATGGCAGGTGCTTTTACCTGCTAAGCTACCTCATCAACCCAAAAGTATTTAAAAATTAAGTCTCTAGCGATGGCAAGATGGCTCGGTGGATAAAGACGCTTCCCATCTGACTAAATGAGCCAAGTTCAATACTTGAGGCCCACAGAGTGAAACGCGAGGGCCTATGCCTGCACAATGGCCTTTGCCTTCCATGCAGTGCCATATTTGTGCTCAGACGTAAATAAAAAATGTATTTTTTTTTGTTTTTTCAAGATAGAATGTCTCCGTGTATCCCTGGTTGTCCTGAAACTCACTCTGTAGACCAGCTAGGTTTTTTGAAATTGTTGTTGTTGTTGTTTTTCGAGACAAGATTTCTCCATGTAGCTTTGGAGCCTGTCCTAGTACTCGTTCTATAGGCCAGGCTGGCCTCTAACTTATTGAGATCCACCTGCCTCTGCCTCCCGAGTGCTGGGATGAAAGTTCTGCATCACCACATCAGCTAATAAATGCAATGTTAAAGATGGAATAGCTATGTGCTGGCATGCAATTGTACCCAATATACACTAAGTTTAAAAAATAAGTGTAGACCTGTCCTGGGCATGACTACTAGTCATCCCCCCCCCCAAAAAAAATGACTCTCCTTCCCTGAATAACAACCAACTGGACCTAGCTCCTCAGCTAGGAGTGGGGACTTGGGTACTCCTGTGTTCTCTTTCATGCTGGACTTCAGAGCAGCTTGACTTTATGCAGGTCTTGTGCAGGAAGCCAGGGGAGAGAAGCAGCTACACAGAGCTGTCCTCTGAATCTGCTGTGTTACAAATGTTTCCACACTGAAGTGCACAGATCATAGATGCATGCATACACCGAGTAATAATAAATGAAATACTTTTAAAAAGAAACATAGACAAAATGAAAAAGAAGCTGAAAGATGGCTGAGGTAAGGCAGAGGAGGTAGTATCATTGGGTCTGCAAAGAGGAAAACACAATCATGGCCCAATCTTTGGTTTTATACTGAGAAATCATAATAATAAGCTAAACACTATTTTATTCGGTTTTTGGAATCCAAGCTAAAGAAAAGAAATCACAGACAACTTAGCTGTCTCTTTTAAGACAGAGTTTCTCTATGTAACAGCCATGGCTGGAACTCACAGAGATCCACCTGCCTCTGCCTCTAGAGTGCTGGAATTAAAGGTGTGCGCCACCACTGCGTGATGAAAACGTAGCTTTTATTGCTGACACATTTAGTGTAAAAGCTTACAGAAAGTAGAATTATAGGAAGTAGAAGGACACATAGAGACATCCATATTCTAATTTTAAGAAGTATGAAACCCAGAGACAATATGTATAGGTGAATGAGAATTAAAAGAAAAACAAAGACAAAAAGATGCACGTTGCATCTGTTGTGTGTTGTGGAGGGAACTAAACGGGAACTAATAACAGCAATGTATTAGGGGAAGAGGGGGGGGGATGCTGTGGTATAAGTGCTAAATCCCCTTCTGTCACGCAGGAAGCAATAGATGCTGTTTGCAGTTGGTAAACCAAGGAATAATTGAGAGAAAATGGATTCTTGCAATATTCTGGTCACTGGTTTCTCTGCTTCCACCTTTGCCCCCTTTTAGTCTATTATTAACACAGCGGCTGGAGAGATTCTCTTAAAACTTAAACTCTGTCACGGTGGCTCACTCAGAACAAAAGATCATGCCATTAAGGCTACCTAAGCTTTACACAATTGTCTGCCTCACAATTTCCATCCTCTACAATTCCTTCTCATTTTGCAACAGTCCAATGGCTGCCTTGCTGAGTTTCTATAGTGATCTAACCCTGTCTCCACTTTAGGATGTTGAAACCAGCTATACTTTCTGCCTAGAATTATCTTTCCCCGGATATTATCGTGACTCACTCTATCATCTCTTTCAGGTGCTTATTAAAGCACCTACCTCTCAGGTTTGCTCTGGTCACTGTAATTTGAAATTGCAGCCACCCAACTCTCTATCTCCTTTGTCTAGTTTGCCTCCATAGCGTTTGCTGTTTTCAAAAATATTTTCATTTTCTTCTTGTATATGTGTCTCTCTGTGTCTTTGCTGTGTGTGTGTGTCCCCAAGGAGAATAGAAAAGGTGGTTGTATTGCCTAGAGCTGGAGTTACAGTTTTGAGTCATTGGTGCTGGGCCAAACATTTGGGACCTCTACAGGGGCAGCAAGCTGAGCGAGCCATCATCTTGTTTACCATATTGCACATATTTTTTTTGTTGCATGTTTGTGGTGGTTTGAATAAGAATGACCCCCATTGGATCCACGTCACCAGGAAGTAGAATGCTTTGATAGGATTAGAAGGATTACGAGGTGTGGCCTTGTTGGAGGAGCTGAGGCTCTGGGGGTGTGCTTTAAGGTCTTAAAGGTACATGCAAGGCACAGGTTCTCTCTCTGCCTCTGGATCAGGATGTAAAGGTCTTAGATTCTGGTCCATGCTCCATTCTGCTTGTTTGCATTCGACCATGCTCCTTGCTGTGATAAAAATGCACTGTTTTGGACATTGTGATCCTCCTGCCTCCAGCAAATCCTACCAGTGTGTGCCACCACAACTGGCAAGTTTCTGAAATTGTAAGCAAGCCCCAAATTAAATGTTTCCTTTTCTAAGAACTGCCTTGGCCATGATGTCTTTTCACAGCAATAGAACAGTGACTAAGACAATATTTTAGCTATTTATCTTTCTTATTGCTTCTATGTCTCACTAGAGCATCATCGAGAGCAAAGATTTTCATGTTTCACTCACTGCTCTATTCCTACTCCTTGGAACTGTGACTATCACCCAGTGGGTGCTTGCTATGGGCTAACGTGTCTCTTCCCAAATGCATATGTTGAACCCCTCATACCTTAAAATATAGCTAAAGATGTCATTTCCAAAGTGAGTGAAGCAAAGTGAAGCCATAATATAGATCTGTAGTTTAATACAACTGTTGTCCTCAGAAGAGGAAGATACCTAGGGGTGGTGACACTCTGGAATCTCAGGCAGGAAGATTTCCATGACTTTGAGACCAGCCTGGGCTACATAGTGAGACCTTGTCTGAGAATGAACAAAGCAAACACAGTGCTTAAAAATATTTTGTTTGTTTAAAGTAGTGGATAAACAGGATGTATTAGTCCTCATTGCTATAACTCAATACCAGAGGCTGTGTGCTTTATATAGAAATGAATCTCACAGCATCTGCTGGGTTCTGTTGAGGACCTTCTAACGCTATCATAATGTACCATGTGGGATTACAGTGGGATCCAATGGAAAGATGAGAAGCCAGAGAGATTCAGGGGCCAGTCTCAGTCTTTATTAACAAACCATTCTCATAGGAACTAATTGGAGTCCAGTGAGAACTACATTAATTTCTCCCAAGACGTAGGGCACAAATGACTTAATCACCTCTTAATTTAAGGTTCTGTAACATCAGCTTCAACACAGTTTCAACCACACTGAGAACAAAGCTCCCAACACATGAAACTTGGAAGAAAACTCATATCCAAATTATAACACAAGTTAATGGAAATGACATGAACCATCAGAAAAACCCAAGTCAGAAACACTTGGTAAAGCTCAGTTGCTAGTGTGCAAAAAAAAAAAAAAAAAAAAAAAAAAAAAAAAAAAAAAAAAAAAAAATCCCCGAACTCAATCCCTGGTACTGCAGAAAACCCACTGTGACGGCACAAGTCTAAAGCCAGAACTCCAGAGGCAGAGGATCAGGAACTCGAGGTTACATCCTCAATGACATGGCCAGTCTGGGCTACATTAAGCCCTGTCTCAAAAGCAATTGTGGTAACCTTTAGAGAATGAGACTACTTGCATGGAGGAATGGGGTGAGAAATACTGTTCATTGTTCTAAGCCTTTTGGTTACGATTTAACCTTTATGCACATGAATGTGGTGTTTTGTGTTTTGAGACAGGGTTTCCCTGCGCAATAGTCCTGGCTGTCATGGAACTTGCTTTGTAGACCAGGCTAGTTTTGAACTCACAGAGATCCACATGCCTATATCTCCCTAGTGCTGGGATTAAAGGTGTGCTCCACCACCACCCAGCTATGAATGCAGAATGCAGTATTTTAATAATTTTGTTTTATAATTATGAAAGAAGACTTTTAATAGCAGGATTTTTGTATTATCTGTATTTTTCTATAATCTAGAAATTTTTTCTTGTTTACAGTTTTTTTTTTTTTTTTGAGACAGGGTTTCTCTGTAGCTTTCGAGCCTTTCCTGGAACTAGCTCTTGTAGACCAGGCTGGCCTCAAACTCACAGAGATCCCCCTGCCTCTGTGTCCCGAGTGCTGGGATTAAAAGCATGTGCCAGCACTTGTTTTCAGATTTATTTATTTATTTAGTATGCAGTGTTTTATCTGCATGTATGCCTGCACACCAGAAAAGGGCATCAGATTTCATTATAGATGGCTGTGAACGTCCATGTGGATGCTGGGAATTGAACTCAGGAACTCTGGAAGAGCAGCCAGTGCTCTTAACCACTGAGCCATCTCTCCAGACCCTGTTTTCAGTTTTTAAAATGAAATATAATTATGTAATTTCTCCTTCCTCCTCCCTCCAGTTTTCCCCACTCATGTGTTCCCTTTCATGAATACCTTTAAAAAATTATTATTGTTTCCTCTGTGCATAAATCTGTAACTACAACCCACTGAGTCCATTTACTTTTGTTTGTATGTAAGCGATTTCAGGGCTGACCACTTGATATTGGATAACCAATTAGAGGACTGATCCCTGGGGAAGATTAATTCTCCCTCCCTCTACCAACAGTCTTTAGTTGTTTATAGTTTTGTGTCCAGGGCTGAGCTCCTGTGAGATTTTTTCCCTTTCTGTGTTACCATGTCTATATGTCATTGTTCAAGTCTTGTGTCGACAGCCATATTGTTAAGGTATCATGGGTGAAGCTTCCCAGGCATTTCTTGGAGACACAGTCTGGCAGAAGACTTCCTGTTTCTCTGGCTCTTACAATCTTTCCATTTCCTCTTTCACAGTGTTCCCTGAGCCTTAGGTATGGGAGTTGTTGTGTTGTGAATGCGTCAGTTATGGATGGAAAACCCACAATCAGCTGTTCTCTGCATTTGGACCAGATGTGGTTTTCTCTAGTGGTCTCTGCTTCAGTGGGAACCTTGGATGAAAGGTGAGAAGCTACACTTACCTGTGGGTATAAGAGTAAGTATTTCGAGTGCAGTTAGGATTCACACTGGTTTAGTCAAGTGGCACTAGTCAATTGTCCTCTAAGATCCAATACCTCACTAGCCTTGGGCAGTTGACTAGGTTTCCTGTAGTAGGCATGATTTTCCTGCCGTTAAGTACATCATAAGTCCAATTAGACAGCTGGTTTGGTAGTACCAAGATATGAATGCCATTATTGCACCTTTAGAAATACCTTTTGATAAGCATTCTAAATGTTAATTTAAAAAGTTTCTGTAGAACAAAAAGGTTCAGCAAGGCATAGAGGGTTACACCTGTAATCCCAGCATGAAGGAGACTGAGGGAGAGTTGTCAATTAGATATTAGCATGGCTGATAATGCAAGACCCTGTCTCAAAAGACCAAAGAAAAGAAGAAAGACTCACGAAGCTTTAGGTTAATAGTTCTCCATGGGATATTTGCCCAAAATGTCTAGAGACATTTTAAGGGGAGTACTATGGGGACCAGGGACACTGTTTGACATTTAAAAATGCACAGGAGAGCTCCCTGCAGAAAAGAACACATTTGTATTTAAATATGCAAATAATATAGCTGCAACAATTTATTAAAGTTATCACCATTTAGTAAAGAGGGTCAACCTGTGAGGTGTATATAATGTAGGAAACTGCGGGGCGGGTGGTGGTGCACGCCTTTAATCCCAGCACTTGGGAGGCAGAGGCAGGCTGATCTCTGTGAGTTCGAGACCAACCTGGTCTACAAGAGCCAGTGCCAGGACAGGCTCCAAAGCCACTGAGAAACCCTGTCTCAAAAAAAAAAATACAAACAAACAAATATAATATAGGAAACTTGCTGCTGTTCTTCACTATCCATTCTTAGTACCTCTGAGAGAAGTTCCGAAGTGAATGGTATTCCCATGACAGCGCTAGGAATGTAGGAGGCATAGTAAATATAAGGAGACTGACTACTCTCTAAAGAGGTTTACATAAGGCTTCATTATCTGCAAATTCAATGGGTGGTTCAGCCCATATTACCACATGCTTTTCACTGGCGCTCTAATTTTATCTCTTCTGCTCTTTATAAATAAATATCAAATACTGCCTTTCTGTCCCTTTTATGTGAAATCTCAATTCCAGGATTTCCTCTGGACCACAAATGTTGCTGGAATGGCTCCTGTGTATCACTGAGCCAGGGGCCAACTGTCTGTCATTTACACAGCACCTCTTTGATGAACTCTCCAGTTCCTTAGAAAATAGTGAACAGTTTCTCGCTGATTTCGTCTTGCATAAAAGCACACCTCCTTCCTTGCACTACAACCCACCCAAAGCATTTATTGAAATGTCTGGATCTGGGAGGTGTACTGGCTACTGTATGCTCATCATCTGTGTGTCCATTAGTGTTTTGTCCAGCTAGAAGTAGTTCTGACAAGTCTCTTGTGACCTGCTTTGAGAATGTGTTTTCTGAAGATAAAGTTGAGAAAACTCAAGGGCAGACACTGTTCCATCCCAATACCTAGAACATTAGTTTGGCCTTGGAGCTACATGTTTGTATTGCCAGGTACTAAGAGCTTGCTAGGGAACAGGCAATTACTCGTTTCCTCACCAAAGCACAGTGAAATTACCTCTCAAAGGAAACACGTGAGACTGCCCACAGGCATTTGCTTCCGAGGGAGAAGCTGGTGAATTTTGAGATGAGAGAGAGCAGGAGGCCTGGTTGCCAGTGTATATCCTTATATAACTTGAAGATTTTGTTCTATGTGTATACATTAGATATGCAAAAATCTTATTTTATGTCAGCAGTATTTGGATTTTAAACCAACTCTCTACCCTGCTACAATGGGAAATAATACAGTCATGTTTCTGATGCAGTGACGTGTACACACCTATAGGTCTAGCATTTCAGGAGGCAGAAGAGCTGCACATTGGAGTTCAGTTGTATAGTGTAGAGAAACTCCGATTGCTTAAAAAAAATTAAAGGTTGCTATTATCATACTTCTTATGAGATAGTAAACATATATTTTGGTAATTTGTTAGACTCTAAATCCCACATTGAGAAAAACAGAAAAGAAATTATCTGCAATAATGTTCTTTGTTGATAAGACTTCATATAAATTACAGGAAAATAGGCAGAAAACAATTGATCTACACAGTAATGTCCATATGGATCACTAAATTATCCACTGTAAGGATAATTGGAGGCCTGAAAAATTGCAGTGACAAAATTTCAATTATATTTTAATGCATGACATATAATTAATTGACCAGGAGTTTTAAGCACTGTGTTTATAGCTGACAAGAGAAAACCAGTCTATCCATGAATAAATACTTCTATGCCTTGTTTCAATTGGTAGAAATAACAATAGGTTTCAAACCTGTTGAGGTAAAACAATGCTTTATTAAGAAGTAATGATGCCTTTAATTCCAGTACTCAGGAAGCAGAGGCAGGTGGATCTCCTGAGTTCAAGGCCAGCCTGGTTTACACAAAGAGTTCCAAGACAGCCAAAGCTACATAAATAGATCTTGTCTCAAAAAAAAAGAAGCAAAGAAACAATGATGATCAGCCAAGCTAGCTCAAGCGGCAGAGGTGTCTGCCACCAAGTCTGAGGAACAGAGTTCAAGCCTTAGGCCCACATGTTGGAAGCAGAGAATCAACTCTTGTAAGTTTTTCTTTGATTTCCACAGGACTGCTATGATACACAGAAATGCCTCCCGATGAAAATATAATACATAAAGAAAAATAAATAAGGCCAGAAGGATGGCTTAGCAGATAAAGGCCGCATAAACCTGATGACCTGGAAGACGAAAACTAACTCTGCAAAGTTGTCCTCTGACCTCCACATGGATCTCCACATGTATGTAGTGGCACACAAATATCCCCGATTGCACGTGTGCACGCACATACACACACAATTCTAATAATAAATGCAAATATTTTAAATGAAAATTTTCTTTCTGTTATAGAATTTAAACTCTTTAATAACTTTAACACTGAATATCTTTTTTGTTGTTTTTGAGAATAGGGCTCAGTATGTAGACCAGTCTGGCCTCCAACTCCAGAGACTTGCCTGCCTCTGGCTTCTAGGTACTGGGATTAAAGGCATTTGCCACCACACTCAGCCTAATATCAATTGTTTTTTGTTTTTTGTTTTGTTTTGTTTTGGTTTGGTTTTTGTTTTAAATGGAACTCTCTCCTTTCCTGCTGGAGCCTGTAATATGATATCACACTTCACCTAACCTCCTAGGCCCTCCTGAACTTGAGAATTTCTAGCAAACCTCTGGCCATTCAAGAGAAATGGTCCTCATTTCCAGATAAACTTAGGGTATTGACCTTCATTTCCACTGATGAGCTTACCCTATTATAATCTCCCAGCACAGCTCTTTTGGTTTTATTTTATAGTATTGCTGTGTGTGGAGGGGGCATGCGTGCCAATGTTTGTGTATGGAGATCAGAGGACAACTTTGTGGAACTGGTTCTCCTACCTTCAGGTAGGTTCAGGGGACTGCACTCAGGTTGCCAGGCCTAAGAGGCAAGTGACTTAATGTTGAGCCATTTTGCCCCTTTTTAATATAAAAGTTCTTTATTGAACTATGCACATAGACACAAAAGTGATGTTCTACTCTTTTGTATGTGTATTATAACTTAATTTTTCATTGGTATTATTATTATTATTTTATTTCGTTTAATATTTATTTATTTATTTGTTATGTATACAATGTTCTGTCTGTATGCCTGCAGGCCAGAAGAGGGCACCAGACCCCATTACAGATGGTTGTGAACCACCATGTGGTTGCTGGGAATTGAACTCAGGACCTTTGGAAGAGCAGGCAATGCTCTTAACCTCTGAGCCATCTCTCCAGCCCTATTATTATTATTATTATTATTTTGGCTTTTCAAGACAGGGTTTATCTGTGTAACCACAGCCCTAGTTGTTCTGGAATTAGTTCTTGTAGACCAGGCTGGCCTTGAACTCACAGAGATCCTCCTACCCCTGCCTCCAGAGTGCTGGGATTAAAGGTGTGCACCACCACCGCCTAGCGATTTTGTATTATTTTTTACATTTATTTAGTTAGTGTGTGGTTCTCTCCTTCCATATATGGATGAGTCTTAGGGATCAAACTCAGGTCTCAGGTTGTTAGGCTTGGTGGCAAATGTTATTATCTGCTAAGCTATCAGGATAATTGATATTATTTTTTTTGGTGTATGTGTGCATGTTTGTGTTGCTGGACTTGTGTGTAGGTACACATCATACACATGGATGCTTGTATGTGTGGAGATCAGAGGCTATCCACCTTGCTTTTTGAGACCAGTCTCCCTGACCTGGGACACCTAAAAGGCTGGTCAGCAAACCCCAGGGATCTAACTGTCTCTACCTCCTCAATATTGAGATTACATGTCTGACTTTTTCTTGTGGGTTCTGGGAATTGAACTGGTCTGCATGCTTCTAAGTCAAGCACTTTGGCAAACTGCTATCTCCCTATCCCTACTTATTTGTGAGATGTATTCCCCTGTTTTTCAGGCTAGCCTTGAACCAGTGATTCTCCTGCCTCAGGCTACTGAGTAGTCAGATAATCTCTCAGCTGTGTAGTTGTGTACAATATTTAGTGGATTTTTTTGTTTACTGATTTTTTTTTTTTTTTTTTGGTTTTTCGAGACAGGGTTTCTCTGTGGGTTTGGGGCCTGTCCTGGAACTAGCTCTTGTAGACCAGGCTGGTCTCGAACTCACAGAGATCCGCCTGCCTCTGCCTCCTGAGTGCTGGGATTAAAGGCGTGTGCCACCACCGCCCGGCTTGTTTACTGATTTTTGTAGTTACATATAATGTTCTAGTGATTGTCTTTGAGCTTTGTTCTTTAAACATTTTTACTAGTTTTTTTTTTTTTCTAGAAAGAAGTAGGATTGTTGGATCAGTGGTTAGGTAACACATAAATATTAGGAGATCCTGCCAAATAGTCTAACTGACTTTAAAACCAGTTTATTATTCTATCAACATCATTTGAGAGGGTACAGTCTTTACTTCTTATGGTTCATTTTTATTATTTTTAAGTGTGTGTGTGTGTGTGTGTGTGTGTGAGTGCATTCATGAGTGCAGGTGCCAATGGAGGTCAGGGGCATCGGATCCCCCTCAGCTAGAGTTACAGGCAGTTATGAACCATGTGGCATGAGTAGTGGGATTGGAACTTGAGTCCTCTACAAGAGCAGTATTCATTCTTAACTGTTAAGCTGTCTCTTCAGCCCACAAACTTTCTATTTTAGTGCTGTAGATGGACCCTAGACCACATGTATGCTCTGCAAGCGCTCTAATTCCCGAGCTATACCCCATCTCTAAGAGAGTACTCTTTTGAGTCAAACTTTCTTTAACTGGAGGCTCAATAGTGAGTAGTTGAGAATTTGATTCTGAACTGTTTAGTATTTATCTTTAATGACTACTGAGACGCTAGGCTTTTCTCCCTTAGAATATTTTAAGTTCCCTGGAGGCTGGGGCCATGCCATACACTTCCTTGGCATTCCCCATAGTGCTCAGCATAGGCTGGGCAAACTGTTGGTGATCAATACATACCCAGTGAATGACTAATAAACCGGTTTATATTTGTGGGCTACTCAATGTTTTGAGGTCAGCTCCTGGAATGAGAGGGCTGGGCAGAGTCAGAGACTAGAGATGTGCCAAGTCAGTATCAGTTGCTCTCACTTGGACAAGTTTAGACCCTAATCTGGGAACCTTATCTGTATCAAGCACCTAGCACGATTCCTGGCCCAGGGAAGTTCCCGATAAAAGACCTCTATTTTGCTGTTGTGATTCCCATTTAATGTGATAGTGTTAAGGGGAGTTGAAGGTTCAAGCAAGGCACCTAAAACTATTCTAGGGAGGGGCTGGAGAGATGGCTCAGAGGTTAAGAGCACTGGCTGCTCTCCCAGAGGTCCTGAGTTCAATTCCCAGCAACCACGTGGTGGCTCACAACCATCTGTACTGAGGTCTGGCGCCCTTCTCTGGCGTGCGGGCATACATCAAGGCATATGTTATATACATAATAAATAAATAAATCTTTAAAAAAAAACTATTCTAGGGAAAGTCAGAAAGCCGCAGCCCACACAGATGGAAACGAATCGGGAACCAGCAGGAACAGCCAGGGACAAGGACAGAGGTGAAATGGGTTTGGAGGGTGGCCAAGGTATTGTAGTCCTATAATCTTGGCATATGAGGGGCTTAGGCAGGAAAATCTAAAGTTTGAGTATAGCCTGCACCACACAGCAAGTCCCCACGTCAAAACAACAACAACAACAACAACAACAACAAAGCCACCAACAAAAGCAAAGAAGAAAACCGTGGGATGAGGCTCAGTTTCTAGAACCTGAAATAGATTTTCAATTGCATTATGGATAAACATTTTCTCTAACACCCCAGGCAGGTTTTTTTTTTTTTTTTTTTTTTTTTTNTTTTTTTTTTTTTTTTTTTTTTTTTTTTTTTTTTTTTTTTTTTTTTTTTTTTTTTTACTGGATTGTTGTATGTTTGGTTTTCATGTGTGGACAACTTTTTGGCTTTCTGAGACAGGGTTTCTCTGCGTAACAGCTCTGGCTGTGCTGGAGCTCACTCCGTAGATCAGGTTGGCATCAAACTCAATGAGATCCGCCTGCCTCTGCCTCCCAAGCGCTGGGATTAAAGACGTGCACCACCACGGCCCGGCTCCTGGTGTGGACATCTTAGTGGTGCTGCTTATTCTCAGAGAAGAGCCAGCAAGTCAAGTGTAGTGCTGTGAACAAGAGGGTGCTTACTGAGAGCACTTTCCATCTCTCTTTCACCTGTTGCAACGGAGACTGTGGCAGCGTTGTTGAGGATTCATGGAGAAGAACAGGTGTTCGACTAGACTAAGATTACTGGGCAAACTACCTGGTTGAAGTGAAACGTGGGACTTGGCAAGCAAGCCGCCTGTCAGATAAGGATTAATTCAGTGGTGAATGTAGAGAGTATGAAAACATGGTGGCGAGCCTCGTTCTTAACTCTCTATCCCTAGTCTGCAGCATGACTGAAGGAGAGAGGCGGGAGATGGCAGGCTGAACAGACTTGACTATAACATTCGACATGGATTGTGTTTCTCCTATAAGCTAAGCATTTAGAACACATCATCTCTAAGACCCTTTAAGATTCTATGAAGTAGGTACAGTTGTCCCTCATTATCCAAAGGGGATTGGTTCTAGGACCCTGTGAATATGAAAGTGCATGTATGCTCAAATATTTCATGTGGGATGGAATGGTATTTGCATATAGCCTTTGCAAGCCTCCCATGTATTTTATTTTATTTTTTCCTCCCACTTTTTAAGTCCAGATTATTTATGATATTGACTGCACAGTAGATGTTATACAAATGACGTTTGGGAGGCTAATGACAAGAAGAAGTTTCTATATGTTCAGTAGAGGTACATTTTACTGTCTGAAACATTATTTTTAAATATCTGTATTTAATACATACAACTGAATACATAAGTTGCTTGCCAGGATTACCCCAGATATTAAGTATCCTGAATTTAGATCTGCCTGGTCATAAGGCTTATGTTCTTTCTCTACCGAATACCATTCTTCGTCTATATTGTCCCCACAGAAGCAGATCTTGCTTAGAAACACTAGCTGGTCATGTGTGGGCAGGGCATTCGTGATTTATTTACTATTATCTATTTGTAGCCAGGGAGTGGGGAGAGGAATGTAAGTTAGACAAATGGGGTGAGAAGAGGCACGTGTGTATTGAATTGAGTATAGGAAGAAAAGGGGTTATCCTGAGCTCAAATGTAACCTAGGGTTTAATTTGATGCATATGTTCTTGGCCGTGGTTCTGGATGGTCTCTGGAACAACATTGACAAGCAGTGTCCAATCCAGCGGTGACAT